CCCCATCCTTGGTCCTTCCTTCTCAGTGCACGCTCGCTCGGTCTCTCTCCCTGCCACCTTCCGTCTATTAGGTGCCTACTGTGTGCCTCTCCTGCCCTTAGGGCGCACACAGCCTGCATCTGAGCCTCAGGGAGGACAGGGCTGCAGGGACAGCCGCCTGTGACTTGGTGAGCTGCTAACTTGATTTCATTGCTACTGTTTCTCGGTGACACTGGGTTCAGACGCTGGGAGACCTTGGGCCCGGCTGTTTTTCCAGCCATGAGGGGCCGAGGTCTCGCAGCACAGCAGGGAGAGGATTTGAAGACACAGTTCAAAGGCTCAGTGGGAACCCCAAATCGAAATACCTTGCTAATACTTTTTAAAAATCAATCACACGTTGAAATCGGTCCACTTTGGATCTACTGGGTTAAGACATGATTAAAATTCATTTTACCCTTTTTCTGGTTTTGGTACCAGGGATTGAACCCAGGGGTGCTTAACCACTGAGCCCCATCTCCCCCCGCAGCCCTTTTTTTGCATTTTGTTTAGAGACAGGGTCTCACTGAGTTGTTAAGTGGCTGAGGCTGGCCTTGAACTTGCCATCCTCCTGCCTCAGCCTCCCGACTCGCTGGGATCACAGGTGTGTGCCGCCATGCCAGGCGACTTCACCCCTTTCTTTGACTCTCTTCTTAATGTGGTGACCAGGAAGGGTTTCCCCTCGGGCCTTGCTCGCGGTGTGTAGGGAGGATGCACAGTCTCATCGGCCCCATGGGGAGTGACAAGTCTCCGGTGGAAAAACAGGGGCACCTCTCCCTGCAGTCTGCATCCCCGGCTGGTCCCTTCCTCTAGCAGGGGTGACGAAGGGGCCTCGGGATCATCCCAGGTGCACGATTCCCACCTGTAGATGGGAACACAGCGCAGGGCCACCTCAGGGGCCACGGCTGGGATGGATGGCATGAGCTCGTTCCCCTCTGCCCTGGGAGCAGGGCCTGGCTCAGGAGAAGCCCTCGGGAAGGCTGTAATTGCTCTCAGTCTTCACCCTGTCCCCAGCCTCCTCAGCACCTGAGTTCCTGGCTCAGGAGGAGCCGTGGGGACTTGGAGAAGGAGAAAGGAGAAACCAAACTGAGCCGGCGAGCAAACCCGCCCCGCCCGCAGGCACATCGCTGCTCAGTGGACATCAGTGGACAGCCGCACAGGGGCCCGGGAGGGTGACTGCCCTCCCTGATGTCACTGCTCCATCAGTGACCCTGCCAGTGAGCCACAGGGACGGGACAGGAGCTCAGAGGGCACTTCTCGAGGGTCTTGTGGCCGGGCCTGGCAGGGTCCCCACTTTTCCTGACCTGTGTGAGAGCTGTCTGCAAAACCAGGGTCCCCCTTCTCACCCCACGTTAATGCCCTCGACGGCCAGGGGGTCCCACTGTCCGTCCCCCAGGGCGTCCCAGGAGGACAAACTGAGCTTCTCCCTTCTTTACATCAGGTCCCGACAGTCCTCCCTTCTGACCTGGGCACCTGTCGGTGTCTCCACGGGACCACGAGGCACAGCTGCTCCCTCCACAGAGAGCAGATGGGACCCAGGAGACCGCGAGCGACTGGCTCTCCCTCACCCCACGGCCTGCCTGACCTGCCTGCCCGAATCCCGCCCAAGAGCCAAGGCCACTGTTGTTCAAGGTCTCTGTCCTGGCAGGGCTGGGCTGCAGCTGTCGAGTCCCCTGAGTGGCCCTGGCCCTCCCTGGGCATGAGGCGCTGGGGCTGTAAAACCAGAGCTGGCCACCCCGGCCATAGAGAGCAGAGACCAAAAGTGCCCACACAGGGGACTCTGAGACCAGAGGGTGAGGAGTGGAGATGGAGGCGTTCTCCCAGCCAAGCCAGCTGGGTTTCTCCGGCCCTGACCCTGTCCAGAAGGGAGATGTGTACGAGAAAACGTCGCAACACGTGCAGTCCTCGCCGAACCTCCTGTCAGGGCAGGGGCGGGGGCTATTTCTTGGATCTTTCTCATACCCAAATCCCCTTCCCGGGGTGTGAGAAAGTCAGGTTTCCCTGGTTCAAATCTTGGCCACGCCCTGCTGTGTGACCTTGCAAGACCCAAACCTCTCTGGGCTCAACTCTTTAATGGGATAACCATACTTAATCATTCACCCGGGTGAATCTCAGCCAGGCAAGTCATTGGGAGGATTAAAGGAGACAATACGGGTGCACAGTAAGCAGGTCAAGGTGCTGGAGGGATCCGTGAACTCGGGGTTCAGCCCTCCCTCCTGCCTACCGCCTGCATCTTTTTCTTCTTAAAACTTAAATTTTGCACTTATGGCCCTCGACAGTCCTTCGAATTTGCACAAGGTGCACCGAACACAGCGAGTCTTGAGCATAACAAACCTGTGACCCCAAACACTGCAAGCCCAGATTCAATCTTGGGGGGTTTTGTAATCTGAAAACAATGTAGAGTCTGGCTTTTCTTGCTTAAAAATGGAATCTGTGTGTAGACAGAGGTTTTTTTTTTTTTTTCCTTCACTTCAATTAAGAGTCGCCTGTGTCTCTGCTGGACCCTGGTCCTCGGGGGCCTCTTCTCCAGGGCTGTGACTGGGCTCAAGGCTGCCTCTCTCTCTCCGTGGCCTCTGCCCTCGGCCTCTCTCTGCGGCACGCCCTGCCCCCCCTCCTGTCACCCTGACTCATCCCACGTGGCTCGGCCTCCCCTCCCCTCCATTCATTCGTTCCTGGACAGCGGCCTCGTGGATTCCCCACATTCCGCCCCTGTCCACCGACAGGCCAGCGTTCAGGGACGCAGCAGCGTGACCAGGAACTGTCCTCTCCCCTTCCCGGCCAATTCCGAACCACCAGGGCCGCATCTTTAGACCAGAGAAGCAGCTTGGCGAATGGAAGAGAGGGGCAGAGGTCACCAAGGACCAGGGAGGCTGTCCGCACAGAGGCCCAGAGTGGGTGACCACGGCCGGCTCGAGGGGCACAGGGCCAGAGAGGGCATCGACGCCAGGGGGTTGCCACGGGCACCCTGGGCTCTCTGATGGCTGCTGCCACCGTCTCCACTAAGGCCGAGGGACCGAGGGGGCCGAGGGGCGAGGGGCCTCTGCCCTGTCCACTCCCTGGTGTCGAATGGGAGCAGATCTGCCCTGGACTCTAGTGTGCGCCGTGCTTGGGAGGAGATTCCTCTTGGACAAAGGAAATCCGTGTGTTAGAGTCTGGGGAGCCGTGGAAGGACCTAGAGCAGGGACGCGGGGGACATACGGGTCTAGAGAAGATCCTCTCTGGGAGTCAGCGGGAGGCCCTGGGATGTGAAGGAGGTGTGGCCCGGGAGGCAGGGTCCCAGGGCCGAGGGGTGACAGCAGAGACGGGCTGGGTGGGGGTGAGGCCGGCACACCAGGACCTGCCAGGGGCTGGGAGGATGGGAGAGGCAGCTCTGGGGCCAGTGGAGGCGGGGAGGCTGGGGTGAGGCTCAGGAGGAGATGACAAGGGCTGATGAGAGGGAGAGCCTGGGACAGGGGTGGGACTCGGGCACTGACTGGCAATGGTGGGGAGCACGGGGAAGAGGGGGGCAGTGGCAGTGCTGGGGTCCTGCCCCAGGAACGGAGGGACCATCAGGAGGAGCAGCTGTTCTTGGAGAGCTGCTCAGTTCCGTTGGGACACTGTGTCCATTAGGAAATGGCCCCAGAAGGGTGATTCGAGGCTCATGAGGGGCGTCCTTCCAGTTCCAGGGGGTCCCAGAAGCTCATGGAAGTGGGGGAAGGGCACCACACAGGGGACCCTGGACACTCAGTTTGGGAGCAGATGCATTTATCCCCGTGACTCAGATGAAGAAACTGAGGTTCAGAGAGGCCAAAGGACTGAATCAAGAAGGCCAATCCGAGGACTTTGTGGCTGACTGGCTGGGCGGTAGCAGAGATGAGGCTCCCAGGTGCTTGGGTCGGGGGCGGTCCTTCCCAGAGCTAGGGACCCTGGAGGCAAGCTGGTTTACCTCCCAGGGAAGACCTGGGCAAAAGAATGCTGAGGGTGCTGGAATCTTCCTCAAGGAGAAGAAGGCCCAGAGACACTAGGAAGTTTGCCTAGGTCACACAGCAACCAAGGTTCAAGTGAATGGTGTCTGGAGTCCTGAGCTCCAGGGAGCCTCCCCACACCCTGGTTCCTGGTAGAAACAGGAGAAGGGAAAGCTGGAGTGAGGTAGCTAGGGTGGGGACAGGGCTGGGCTGTCCCCTTCTTCACGGCCCACGGTGGCTGGAGTGGCCCAAGAGGCCAGGAAAGTTTTGCCTGGCAAGAGCGGAAGATCTCAGGGGTTGGAGGTCATCTCAGCCACTGGCTGTGTGACCTTAGACAGGCTGCCTAACCAGTCTGAGCTTCCCTTTGCTCATCTGAAAAGTGGAGCAAATAGGCCAGGTGTGGAGAAGGGGCTGGGAGAGGGAGAAACCTCTGGGTCCAACAGGCTGAGTTCAGATTGGCTTCTGGCCGTGTGACTTGGTCATCCCACTTCCCCTGTCACCTCCTCATCTGAGAAGCCAGCACTATCAGAGGGTCTGACTCTTCCCCAGGAACCGAGGAGTCCCCAGCTCCTGGAGAGCCACGAGGGCTCTGCCCTGTCCTCCTCCACCAGGGCACCGTCAGGGACTCAGCCTCCCACCCTCCAGACTCTGAAGCCACCGGCCAGGAGCCCCGCCACGTGCCGGGGGGTCTCCCCTCCAGCAGAACAGGCGGCACCTTCCGAGTCCCCAGGGAGAAAACCATCCCCGTCACCTGGAGCCTTTCTTGGGGTGTCCTGGGACGCCTGGGGCCCCCAGCGCCCCAGCACCTGCTGTGGCGAAGCCCTCCCTCAGGGGCACGAAGCCCCGAGGACCCCTTTGACAGACAGAACCACTGAGGCGCCCGGAGCAGCCTGGCGCGGGCCGCCAGCCGGTGACTCAGCAAGGCCCGGGCCCCTCGCTGCCCTCGGGAGGGGCTGCAGCCTGGGGACAGGGACCAGCCGAGCGAGTCCGGCTGCGCCTGAGCTTGCCCGCGGGCAGGCCGGCCCCTGCCGGGGGTCTCACCTGGAGTCCGAGTCGTCGGCGCGGGACCACAGGCTCAGGATCCCGTCCTGGTCCATGGCGGTGGCCGAGGGCGGGGAGGGGAGGACGCGCGAGCCGTGGCGGCGCAGGTGTGCGCGGTGGCAGCGTCTGCCGCTGCCCGCCGGAGCCCGCCAGGTGCCTACCTCGCCCGGCCCACGGGGAGGGGCGCAGCCGGTTCTCCCAGCTGCTACCCACGCCCCCGACGGCGGGAGAGGCCAGGAGCCTCCCTTCCCGAGGGCGGGGAGGAGCGGCCACAGGCACGTCCTTGGCCCGCGCCCAGAGAGCGGCGGGATGGAGACGGGGGTCAGCACCGAGGCCACACCCCGGCCTTCCGGGCTGGCGGCTCTGGGCATGCGACACCCACTGGGAAACTCGGTTGGGCCATCCGGAACACGGGAGGGTCCCGTCGGTGCCGGGAGCCGGCTGCCTCCTCCAGGAGCCCTCAGCCAAGCACCCGGGTCCCCTGGTCCCCTGCCTGGAGACACCGCAAGGGACCAGGGACCAGGTCAGCAGCACTGGCTGCTGTGGGGACTGCTCCAGGCCCAGGGCGTTGGAGGTGGGCGGCAGAAACTTCCAGAGACCAGGGGAAGAGAGACCTTCAGAGAGAACCAGAGACAGAGAGACCCTGAGGGGTGAGAGACAGAGCCATCGGGCGACAGAGACACACAAAGAGGCAGAAATAGAGACACAGAAAGACCCCAAACAGGCAGAGTCACCCAGAAGGTCAGAGACAGGGAGCGACCCAGAGATGTCACAAGGGCCAGCAGCCACGGCTGGCGAGGGACTTTGGACGCCCAGGCCCGGGTTGAACTCCAGCTGCAGCACTTCCCAGCCGTGGAGCCCGCAGCCCAGTCCTCTGGCCTCTGGGCCTTGGTTTTCCAAGTGGAATATTTCTTGGGTGGTGGCAGGAGTCTCTGGCACCCAGGGGCACAGCCAACCCAGGGCCCATGGCTCTGTCTCCTGCCCCCTGGCCTCCCCTGCGTTTGACCTCAGGCCCATCAAGTCTTGGAGTCTGGCCGTGAGGCCTGTCCCCACCAGAGGTGATACTCTATTCAGCCAGAGGCATAGGCCTGGCTGGTTAAGAACACTCCTGAGCAGGTCAGAGAGGACATCGCAGTCCCGTGGCCCTCTCCCACCCGAGGCGCGGACTTCCCAGAACGTGCTGCTGGAACCTTCCAGGAATCCTCCTCAGTTTTTTTCCTCCTGGAATTAGACATTGAACCCGGGGGTGCTCCATCACGGAGCCACACTCCAGTCCTTTTCATTTTCAGCTTGAGACGCGGTCTCACTGACTTCCAGCCTCGCACTCCTGATGACTCCTGCCTCAGCCTCCTGAGGAGCCAGAATCACGGGGGTGCCCCACTTTTCTGGACTTCTCCTTTTTTCTGACGTGGGTCGGAGAAATCTCGGTCAGATGACCAAACACGAGGACAGCACTGTTGGAAACCGCATTTACTGACCCAGGCTTGTTGCATAGGTGAGGGGGATGGGAGATGTCAGCTCTATAAAGATGCAGAAAAGGAACTCAGAGAGGTAGTGGGACCTGCCCAAGGTCGCACAGCACTGACCACGTTCACACCGAGGGCAGGCAGAAGACACATGTCCTGGGGCGTCCCATCCCCTCAGTTTTTCTGTCCAAAGACCCATCTGTGAAGTTCTGGACTGTGGGGAGTGCCCTGACCTGCACTCAGCCGTGACCGAGTTCGCCTCCTGATCCTGTCCTGTCACCTCAGTGTGAAGGGAGGACCTCCCTGTGGGCTGAGAGACCCTGTTGGTGTCAGGGAGGAGGCTGAGCAGAGCCTGGCCACCCTCCTGTTTTATCTTCAGTGACCTGTCCCCAAGTCTCCCACAGTGCTTCAGGCACCAGAGCAGGAGGACAACTGTGCCTGGCCACCTGAGAGCCTCAGGGGAGGATTTGGGGGATGGAGAGGGAAACTTGGGGGTAGGGGGCAGCAGCTCTGGGAGATGGGAAGGTCCAGGAAGTTTAAGGGGGGGGGGGCTAAGGAGTCAGTGACAAGGAAGTGGCTGAACACGGAGGCCCAGAGACCCCAGAAACAGTCCCACCTCAGGGCCTTTGCATTTGCTGTCCCCGAAGACATCTAAGCGCTTCACAGCCTCCTCCGTCTGCCTGGAAACCGTGTCACCTCGCACAAGCTGTGCCACCAACCTCTAGGTCCTTCCCGGCCACCCTCTGACTTCCTACATGTTTTGCTGACAGCTGACCACAGGAGGACGGGGCTCGTCCGGCGTCCAGCCCTAGTATCCCAAGGAAGCGCCTGGAATGTAGGAGGTGCTCATTAAATGCTTGTTGATGGGATGATTGAGTCGTCACAGGGAGACAGGGAGAGGTGACGGGAGAGGAGTCCCAGCACGTGCAGAAAACGGGGAGGGGGCCAGGTGGGGGCCACGGGATGGAGACCCAGGCACCAGAGCATCACCTTAGCCAGTTAGGAGAGGGGGAGGGGCATTCACGGAGACCACTAGCCCCTCGGAAATGGATCCGGGGTTCCCCAACATCCGGGAGACAAGAGGGTGAGGGTGGAAAGGAAGCCAGGAGCCAGGTCCTCATCCACCTGCCCCCGCGGCTAGAGTGTGGCTCCTTCCCTCAAATTCATTCAGGCCTTTAATCCCCAAAGTCTTACTTGCTGGCACTGCGAGGGCGGGAGCCTGGTCCAACCCTGATGTTCAGGGGCGGGGCCTTTGGGGAGCGATTAGGTTAGATGAGGTCATCAAGGCGGAGCCCCCACGAGTGAATTCTGGTGGCTTTGTAAGCAGCAGGAGGGAGACACACGTTGACAGAGAGGATGTCGTGCACTCCACCATGAGCTCCAGGGAGCCTCCAAGAACCTGCAAAATGCTGTTTGGTCCTTGTACCTCGGGAACCATGAGCCACGTCTTTTTCTTTATACAACAGCCTGCCTCAGGTATTTTGTTATAGTAATAAAAACTGACAGTACATCTTCACTCTATCCATCCATCATCCCTCAAACCACTCATCCCCCTGTCCACCCATCCATCCATCCATCCATCCCTCCAACCTGGAGATGCCTCTTATGGATCAATTGGAAAACGAGATACGAAGTAAACATGGCTTTGAGCTGAGCTGGCCAATGCAGTGGCTAGTTAGCACTAGAAATGTGGCTTATGTGACCAAGGAAGTGGACATTTTCAATTATATTTCCTGTTAAGTAATTTACATGTGACTTTAAGAGCAGAAACAATATAAAACACTTCCCCCTTGAAAGCACCAGGAATGCTTTGGTAACATTTGGTACATTTAACTCAACTGTTGGAAACTGAGCATTGAAATGGAGACAAGATGCCTATAAAGCATCTCAGAGTAATTTTGATTTGATTCCATGTTGAAATGATGGACAGATCAGATTAAGTAAAATCTATTCCTAAAATTACCTTCACCCATTCTTTTTTTGGGGGGAGTGGGAAGTACTGGAAATTGAACCCAAGGGCACTTCACCTCTGAGCCACATCCCCAGCCCTTTTTTATTTTTTTATTCTTTGAGACAGGGTCTCGCTGAGTTGCTTAGGGCCTTGCTAAATTGCTTATGCTGGCCTGGAACTTGCGATCCTCCTGCCTTAGCCTCCCGAGACACTGGGATTGCCAGCATGTGCAGTTTTTGTCCCAACTGCTGGGGGCGGGTAGCTCAGTGTGCCAGTGTTGGGCCTCTCCAGGAGGCGAGGAAGGGCTTCCCTGGGGAGAGGGTGCCCCAGGAGGGGAAACCAACGACAGGAGGACACCGTGTCCAGCCAGTGCACCTGAGTGGAAATGGTGTCTGCGTGGAGGCCTCGCTGGGCAAAGGCCAGAGAGGCCGGAGAGAGCCGGAGGTATCCTTCCAGCCAGAGAGGGGCCTCTGGGCAGGTGAGACTTTTACTTCCTGGGTCACATACAGCCCATTTCTGGTGCTAGCGGGTGGGGACATCCAAGGACACCACTGGGTCCCTGGGGACTCACAGGTAGCAAGAAGCAACCGGGTGGGGATGGGCTGGGCCAGTAAAGGACAAGCCCTCCACCCCACTAAGCCTCCAGGGAGTCCAAAGTGTCACATGATGTGCGGTGACCACGACCAAGCCCCTTCCCTGCCAGACCTCAGGGACTGGTTTTGAAAGGGGGGCACTAGGGTAGGCCGCAGGGGTGGGCGCCCTGGCCTGGCCTCTCCTGGGGATCCCTCTGTGCCCCCCACCAGCCCTGGGATGTGCCATTTTGCTGTTGGAGCTTAGACGTGGGCAAAGGGAGGTCACTGGGTCATGAGTTCATGTTTCCACAGAATGAGGCCATTGTCACCTCCAGAGCCCAACCTTTCCATTAAAAGCTAGTAATTGTCACAAATACCAGCAGCTTCGGCTGCTTCCAGGCTGGGCTCCCCAGGGGGGAGACTGGGGGCGGGCGCAGTGGAGTCAGGAAGGAGCCAGAACAAGCGATCAGAGTGGGGGGTGGGGACAGGGACCGCACCGGGGTGGTCTGAAGGTGGAGGGTCCGGGCCCTGAACCCCTGTGACCAGAGAGACGAAAATAGGACACTTAGACCCTGGGTCCGGGAAAGGGGGCCGGGGAGGGAGGTTGGGGGTGGCAGCGAGGCCCAGGTGCCCCAGTCCTCCCAGGGCCACTTTGAGCAGGAAATGAAGTCCTGGGGCTGGGCGGGGTGGGCCCCCTCGGCCGGCTCCTCCCCAGCTCCCCTCTAATCCGTGGGTCCATCGCGGGGTGCGCTGCGCGGCCTGGGACACCTCCGCGGCTCCCCGCCCGATGACTCCATCCCGCCGAGCCCCGCAGGGCCGATACCGCCGCCGCCCGCCCGCCGCCCCGTCCGGGCCCCGGTCCCGGCGCGACCCACACCTGCTCCGGCGGGAGGCTGGGGACGCGGCGGCCCGAGCACCGCGGAGACTGGGGGAGATGCCAGGGCCTTGGGGTGACCAGCTGGGTCGTCACCGGCCCCGGGCGGAGGGAGCAGAGGGCTGGAGAGGCCGCGGGACCCCGAGGGCCACGGGGCCGCAGGTGGGCGCCTCGGGCCGCGGCTGGACCCCGTCGAGGGAAGAGGGGCTCCCGGGCCCCGGGGCTGGAAGACAGCGCGGCAGGTGCCGGCTGGGCGCTGGGCAGGGTCTGGAGGCCCCAGGTGCGCCCAGGTGCCGCTCGTCCCCGCCTCCCGGGCCTCGTGGGTGCTCCCAGCGCCGTCCTCACTGTCCCTGGAGCTGTGTGCCAAATGCCAGGACCAGACAAACCCGCCGTGCCAGCTGAGCATCCCCAGCCCCCCCAGATCCTCTCCCTTCCCACAGTGACTCCAGGGAGGCCCTGCCCCAGGGCAGTGAGGAGGTGGGTGGGAGGCGGCCCAAGTGGGAGAACAGGACACCCCACAGCTTCTTCGGCGGCCTCCTGGGGCTCAGCCCTGCTCCTGCCACCCACTCCCTGCCTTCAGGGGCCCGCACTTCCTCCTTGGCCCTAGGTCCCCAGAAACCTGCTCCACCGAGCAGCCACCTGACCATTCCTGTTCCTTAGGATCCATTCATTCTGGCAGCCTCCGCAGACCTCGGGAACATGGGAGCACCGCCCTGGACACGGCAGGAGGAGGAGGAGAAGGATAATGTCCCCCCAGTGCCTACGTTGTCATCTAGGAATCTGCAGACGTCATGCCCCTGGCCAAAGGCGCTGCGCAGGAGGGATCGAGTTAGGGCCCTGGAGTCGGGGAGATGGTCCTGATTATGGGGTTCATCCTCCTCCCAGGGGTGAAAGAGGGAGG